TCCTTCCTTCCTTCCTTCCTTCCTTCCTTCCTTCCTTCCTTCCTTCCCCTAGAAAGGTAAAATCCATTTTTAGCTGGTGGGTCATACCAAAACAGGTTGCAGGCTGAATCTGGCTTACTAGACAAGTTTGCTAACTCCTGTACTTAAAAACGTAATGTTTAAATTCAAATGAAAAATAGCCATTTTTTATGGATGCAAGGATGTCTGAGTGGGAGACATGCTGTGATATAAACATATTATGAATGACCAACAGGCAGAGTAAAATGGCCCAGGCAACCCTACCTATGGCTACTCTGACTAAATATATTCTTTTTTCACCAGGATCAAAGCTAGAAATTCAACCTTATCCCCCCTGTCCGCTGGCATTCTCTAGTCAGCGAGGCCTCAGCCAACATGTGTGGCTCAGGCATCTTCCTCAGCTCTTCTCAAGTTACTGTGCAGGAAATCATCTCCGTCCGGGGAAACCCTATCCAGAAGATCAGAAACAGCAGCAGAAACAACTCTTTGATCAAGCCTGCTTGAGTGACAAAGCAGAAATTCAAGAGACAGAAGACTCCAAGCCCTTGTTCAGGAGAGTAAGCAGAAGAGGCACTTGGGAGATGTTGTCCAGCCCACTGCAAGAACAGCCAGTCAGGTCCAGGGAAGACAACACGGTGCTGGATATAGGGCCCAGCCTAGGCCAGAGGACAGACGTTGAGGAATCAGACAAAGGATCGCGTGGTGTAGAAGTCTCAAGATTTGGGACAGTCAAATGTGGGGAGTTTGGGCGAGGCTTTTTGAGGGAGTCAAACCTGCTCAGCCTCCAGAAGATGCATACAGGGGAGACACCTTACATGTACACTGAGTGGGGACAGGGCTTTAGCAACATGTCAATCCTCATAAAAAACCAGAAGAAACACTCTGGGGAAAAACCTTATGTGTGCAAGGAGTGTGGACGAGGCTTTACCTGGAGGTCAAACCTCATCACACACCAGAGGACACACTCAGGGGAGAAGCCTTATGTGTGCGAGGAGTGTGGACGAGGCTTCACCTGGAAGTCAAACCTCATCACACACCACAGGACACATTCAGGGGAGAAACCTTATGTGTGCGAGGAGTGTGGACGAGGCTTTACTTGGAAGTCAAACCTCTTCACACATCAAAGGACACATTCAGGGGTCAAGCCTTATATGTGCAAGGAATGTGGGCAGAGTTTTAGCCTGAAGTCAAACCTTATCACACACCAGAGGGCACACTCTGGGGAGAAGCCTTATATTTGCAAGGAATGTGGGCGTGGCTTTCGCCAGCATTCACATCTCATCAGACATAAGAGGACACATTCGGGAGAGAAGCCTTATGTGTGCAGGGAGTGTGAGCAGTGCTTTACCCAGAAGTCACATCTCAGTAGACACTTAAGGACACACACAGGAGAGAAGCCTTACGCGTGTGCGGAATGTGGGCGCCGTTTTAGTTGGAAATCAAACCTCAAGACACACCAGAGGACTCACTCCGGGGTTAAACCTTATGTATGCCTGGAGTGTGGGCAGTGCTTTAGCCTGAAGTCAAACCTCAACAAACACCAGAGGTCACACACGGGGGAGAAGCCATTTGTGTGCAGAGAATGTGGGCGAGGCTTTACCCGGAAGTCAACCCTTATCACACACCAGAGGACACACTCAGGGGAAAAGCCATTTGCGTGCAGGGAGTGTGGACGAGGCTTCAACGATAAGTCAACCCTCATCTCACACCAGAGAACACATTCAGGGGAAAAGCCTTTTGTGTGCAGGGAGTGTGGTAGAAGGTTTAGCCAGAAGCCAAACCTCTTTAGGCACAGGAGGGCACACTCGGGTCATATGCCCTTTGTGTGCAAAGAGTGTGGGCAGGGCTTCTGTGATAAGTTAACTCTCGTCACCCACCAGAAGGCACACTCCGGGGGAAAGCCTCACGTGTGCAGGGAGTGTGGGCAAGGCTTTAGCCGGCAGTCACACCTCGTTAGACATCAGAGGATACATTCAGGAGAGAAGCCTTACATTTGTAGGAAGTGTGGGCGAGGCTTTAGTCGGAAATCAAACCTCATCAGACATCAGAGGACACACTCAGGATAGACACCTTGTGTGTACAGCGAGTGTAGTGAAATCTTCAGTCAAGAGTCCTATTTCACAAGATGCCAGAAGTCACACCTAGTGGTTTTAGTAAGAAGTCAGCCATTACCAGACACCAAAGTGGAGACAGCTACTTACGTGTGACAGGAATGTTCACGAGCTCAATGGGAAGAGTCAACCTCTCCAGTCCGCCTGGAGAACTACTGGCTCATTTTCAGGAGCTCTGGCTTCCCCTAGTGGGGATGGTGGGTTGTGGAAGATCAGGTAACTTGATGGAGGGAGCACTTAGAAGTAGATTGAAATAAAGGAATGGAGACTATTCTAATGTCATTTCCTGAGAATATTTAAACCCTCCTTACACAGTAGCCTGGATGTTAGAGATAACAGCAATAATAGAGCTCGCCCCTTAAAATCTGTCTGACTTTCTGAGAACAAGGGACTTGACAGAGACCATTGCTGATTTAATCTTGCTTTCCCAGAGCAGGACCCAGCAGCAGTCAGCTTCAGGGAAGTTTGGGAAATGATGAATTCATGGAGACAGAGGTAGTACGTGGGTAGAAGAAGGTTTTATTATGCAAAAGGGCTTACAAGTGAGGAAGACCATGACTGTCCTAGCTCTAGGTTTTGGGAGGAAGTATCCATTTTTGCTTGCTTCCGGGGGCTGTCTCTGGTTTCCAGGTTGAATCCATACTGAAGATATTCTTATTTACCGATGTATTTAGACTAGAAATGTATTATATGCTTTTATGAAGAAAACTGATAGTAATTTTTGTGAATTTGACTTTCAAACCAAAAGTTAGAATATTGAAAAACAACTGTCGCCATGAACTTGACAGCTTTCCACTACTTAGTCTTTTGTGACAAGATTGCTGATGATATTAATGAATGTGATTTTGTAATACCATATAATGAAATACGTAAACATTTGGAAGATCTGCCTAACTCATTGAACAAGTATTTTCCAAGTGATTAGTGTGTGATGCTACAAAATCATCCATGGTGGTATTAAAGTATAAGATAGGCAAATGGATTTCAGTTTAAAAGATAAAGGTACCTGGCTGGCTGAGTCAGTAGAGCATGAAGCTCTTGATCTTGGAGTTGTGAGTTGGAGCCCCACCTTTAGGGATAGAGTTTACTTTAAAAAAGAAAAGAAAAACCAAAACCAAAAATTAAAATTAATACCAATCTTTAAAAAAAAAAAGAGATAAAGGCCAGATTCCACATTACAGTAACCTTTAAAAAATTATCACTTGTTGACTTTTGGTATACTTTGGTATAGTCAAAGAATAATATTAACAAATATCTGAAAAGGTCATTAAGATACATCTCCATTTTTTAAATTTGTACATGTGAGGTCATATTATTTATCTCAGCAAATTAAATGCAAGAGCACATATAAAATACTAGCTATATTAAGATTAAAGAGATTTTCAAAAATACAAGATAATGCCAGTCTTCTCACTGATCTATTTTTTTTTTAATTTTTTTGGTGGAAAATATTCAAACCCAAGTGAAAGTGAAGCACTTTACTTCTCATTTAAAGTGCATTGTTTCTAGATGTTTATGGTTTTGGGGTACCTGGCTGGCTCAGTCGGTGGAGCATGTGATTCTTGATCTCAGGGTTGTGAGTTCAAACCCCACACTGGGTGTAGAGATTACTTAAAAATAAAGGTTTTTTTAAAAAAACCAAACAGGTTTGGGGTTGCCTGGCTGGCTCAGTTGGTGGAGCATGCGACTCTTGATCTCAGGGTCATGAGTTCAAGTCCTGTGTTGGGTGTGGAGCTTAACAACAAAACGTTTAGATGTTTATGGTCTATATCTCACAGCAAAAAATACTTCACACACACTTAAACACCAAAAAAAAAAAAAAAAGTTACCTAACATACTATTATACTTAATATAATTTAAACTAGGCATGGGGCACCTGGCTGGCTCGGTTGGTGGAGCATGAGAATATTCATCTCTGCGTCATGATTTCGTCCCCATGTTGGGTGTAGAGATTACTAAAAAAAAAAAATAAACTTAAAAAAATTTAAACTAGACATAGAAGAAAATTACCAAATAACACAAATGCAAAGGAAATGCTTGTTAACACCCACTGGCAGATGTAAACCTACAATTGAAGTATGCTGCTCTATCTAGACAAAACACACAAATCTTGGGGAATGCTCATTGCTAGAACTAAATTATATAATTACTTAATCTCTGTGCCTGTCGCTATGTCTCTTCCTGAATATTCTTGCCAATTTTTCTATTTTTTATTAAAATCTATTCTTTTAATCTTTTCAATGTGTTTTTAACTTATATTTTGTTAATTTTTGTTAATATTTACTAATATCTTGAAGCTAGTTTTTATTAATTGCTTTTTGAAGCTTATTTAATCATACTTCAGGTTTTTTTTTTACCTTTTCCTTTTTATTTTCTTCTGAAAGTCAAATCAGTTATAATTTTTATCTTTGTTTTCTCTTTTAGCCAAGAATTACTATTTCTACAAATGGCTAGATGGATGTATTCATTTTTACACTCTCCTAGTATTTAGTTTTTTTTAATGTTGTAGCATTATAGTCAATATATTTTTGTAGTTTCTTCCATTTCATTTTATTAAAAAATGTTAATGTATTTATTTAAATTCAAGTTAGTTAACATACGATGTAGTATTGGCTTCAGGATAGAACCCAGTGATTCATCACTTCATATGACACCTAGTGCTCATCCCAACAAATGCCCTCCTTAATGCCCATCACCCATTTAGCCCATCCTCAACCCACCTCCCCTCCAGCAACCCTGTTTGTTCTCTGTATTTAAAAGTCTCTTATGGTTTGCCTCCCTCTCTGTTTTTGTCTTATTTTTCCTTCCCTTCTCCTATGTTTATTTGTTTGGTTTCTTAAATTCCACATATGAGTGAAATCATATGGTATTTGTTTTTCTCTGACTTATTTTGCTTAGCATAATACACTCTAGTTCCATCCACATTGTTGCAAATGGCAAGATTTCATTCTTTTTGATCACCAAGTAGTATTCCATTGTATGTATGTATGTATCTTCTCTGTGCATTCATCTGTGGATGGACATTTGGGCTCTTTCCATACTTTGGCTATTGTGGATAGCACTGCTTTATAAACATTGGGTGGGGTACGTGTGTCCCTTCAAATCAGCGTTTTTGATTCCTTTGGATAAATACCTAATAGTGCAATTGCTGGGTCATAGGGTAGTTCTATTTTTAATTTTTTGAGGAACCTCCATGCTGTTTTCCAGAGTGGACTTCCAGTTTAATTCATAAAGTTTAGTTTTGAATCTAATCAAGCTCTGAATTTTCATGTATATCTTTTTTTTTTTTTTTTATTTTTTTTTTTTTTTAGTTTATTTATTTTGAGAGAGAATAGGGGAGGGTCAGAGAGACAGTGAGAGAGAGAATCCCAAGCAGGCTCCACACTGTCAGTGCAGAGCCCAATATAGGGCTTGAACTCACAAAATGAGATCGTGACCTGAGCTGAAACTGAGAGTCAGATGCTTAACTGACTGAGCCACCCAGGCACCCCACTTTTCATGAGTATCTTAAAAAGCAAGTATGTAACATGAGTATGTGTATTTTAACAATATTATACCAAAATTAACACAAAAGGTTATAAATGTTGATGTTTTCCTATATCGTTACCTTATTCTCCTGTTGTTTTAATTTCATATTTATTTCTCTGTTAACATGTGAAATTAGATTTGTAATGTAAAATAGATACAAGTAATATTAACAGAATAAGCACCATTGTACTCACCCCAGAAGAAGTAGTAAGCCTTAATTATTTTTAAAAACTTAGCACTTCCATTTCTGTAAGTGAAATAGTCAATAAATTTATGATCATGTTAAACATTTTTCCATGTATTGCCATCAAATTTTGCTTAATACATTTCAAGGCTATTTTATTTAGATCTATAGAAATTAATAAAATTTCTTCTTGATGGATTTTCTCTTTTAAAACCATTGAGCAACCCCAGGTCCCATTCAGTGCTTCTAATTAGTCTGTTCTCAATACTGTTTGCATTTGCCTTTTTTGGTAGTATTTGCTATACTCACTTTTTCATTTTCATCTTGATATTCTTGTTTTGTGAATAGAGCATCCTATTCAAGTACTGGAAGCCACAGTCAGAACAATTAGGTAAGAAAGATAAATAAATAAAAGCATCTAAATTG